TTCCGCGATCCAGTGCCGTCAATCCTGTGCCTTTTAGGAAACGCAATGCGCAGTATGAAGCGAGTTTGTTCAAATTCATAGCGTTGATGACTAGGGCCCTGAAACAAGACGCTGAACCGCAACTGAGACACTTGATCGAGCCAATGCTTAGTTCGGGTCTCAGGTACGAGCAGTTCAAGTTCTTTGTCGATCGTTTAACGTTTTTGCTTGCTTAGCACCAGTCTGATAAGCGCGCTGCTCGAGATCGCCGAATGCATGCCATCGCTGAATATGGACATTCAAGATGGCCTGCTAAGACAGCTGTACCAGGTGTTGTTGCGATGCCCCGTGCCGAGCAAACTGCTGCCTCCTCCACTGCTGGAAGCGCCACAAATGCCGATGACTATTACAGATCCGGTGCCGGTTACTCTCGCGCTGAAAGTACTGAACAGCTTCACCTTCCAGACCCATTCGTTGGAAGTGTTTCTGAAGCATGTTTCTGAAGTATGCTGATATGGCTTTGTATTGGTGATGATCGCCATCTGCCGCCGTTGTTTACCTCGTTTATCCATAGGGTTACCTTAACTGTGTTCACGTCGATGTGCGCCTGGAGTCAGTCCGTTGCATTGCGCATATCCTTGTTCCGTTTGTTGAAAACTTTGCCAAGGTGCGCGTGATTCAGGATCATCTGCCGTTATTACGTCTTATTGGTGATGTACTGACCCGGCTCGTGACTGCTGGGGTCACGGACCAAGGTATTTCAATAGCTTTCTGCTTTAGTCTGTGATTTTGTTTCTAATTCGATACTCAGCTGATAGGAGTACACAGCGGTAATAGTAGTTCAGTGGATAGGGTGTCTAACTCGCAGTCGAAAGATCTTGGATTCGAACCTGACGCACCTGCAACTGTTAAAAATGTTAGTATCAATAAAAACGAAAGAATGCCAGGTCCACGTTTACCTCACGTACATAAGAACGTCCAGCAAGCAAAATAAATTTGCCATGGTTATATTTTTACGGGCTGGCGGCGCTGTCATTTTTCTACGTTTATACAAATACGGCATGAATGAATAGTAAAATATTGAGTAATCGACAGAATTGCGTTTAAAATGGTTTTATTGGG